CATCAGCAAGTTTGCCAATGACACCAAGCTGTCAGTGCAGTGAATGCTGAAGGTAAGGGATGGGATCTGGAGAGACCCTGATACAGGCAGCAGCCCTGCAGAGGAGGACTTGGAAGATTTGTCTGACAAGAAGTTCAACATGAGTCATCAAGTGTGTTCCTGAATTGTTCAGCCTGGAGAAGAAAAGGCTCAGGGGAAACCTTAGAGCAGCTTCCAGTGCCTAAAGGGGTCTATAAGAATTCTGGAGAGGGACTTTTTACATGGGCATGTAGGGATAGGACAAGGGGGAATGGCTTTAAGCTGTCAGAAGAGGGATTTAAATTAGACACTAGGAAAAAGTTCTGTAGTATGAGTGTGGTGAGACACTGGCACAGGCTGCCCAGAGAAGCTGTGGCTGCACCATCCCTGGCAGTGTTCAAGGCCAGGTTGGATAGGGCTTGGAGCAACCTGGTCTAGTGGAAGGTGTCCCTGCCCATGGCATGGGGTTGGAACTGGATGATGTTTGGGGTCCCTTCCAACCCAAACCATCCTGCTATTCTATGATCAGAAGGCTCTGCTGGAGCAAACACAAGCATCACCGGGACATACCTTTCTCCTCCCTACTCTTACAGACAAAAAAAGCAAGCTACACCCAAGGGGAATCTCATACACATGCAGAGAGGCTCATACTGGCTCAGTATGGAGCCAGTTCACAGGCTTTTTGTTCAGATCAGAACCACAGAATAAGTAGACGAAGAAGCAAAAGGATTAAAAGAACATTTTACATACTGTTCTTCAAAGCACAAATGGCTGTGACTTCTGCAACCTTTTTGCTGTTTTTCTTCACAAAGATTTCAGCAGTTGACAATCATTAGGTGGACAAAGCTCTTTGCATCCTGGTCACAAAAGATGCTGTTTACTATGCAATACCACAGATCATGAGGTTTAAGTTCTGTCCTGTGCAACTAATCTATACTCAGACAATTAATTGACCAGGATAGGAAGGCTGAAGCCAGATTTGTAATAGCAAAGCCATTTGCAAAACTCCTTTCTTCTAGCATTTTTAGTTAGAAACACACCCTGAATCTTCACTTAGAAATTGTTTTCTCCAAAGTTACCTAAAAAATTTCCTTGACTTCTTTAGTTACCCCTGCCTCCGTATACTGACAGAAAAAAATAAAAGACTGGCAATTTCTATCTAGTGAGCATATTGATCATTTGGGTATTGCATTAGGTTTCAGGATGTTTTCCACATTCTTAATTGTCATCATACACAGGACCAAATGAATTTCTCCTATGATTCATGGCAGTTACTCTGAGGCTATGGATGGCCTGATAATAGTCCCAGCTGATGACTCCTGAATTGGTACAGTGATGTTTGCAGGATAAAACTCCTGTCTACAAACATAATCCCTTATCACGGATGACAAAGGCACTTTATCAACTAACTGCAAGTCGGAAGAGGATCAGGAAATTGTGCTGCAAAATGCACCTGTCAGTAGGGTTACATCTAAGTAGATACTCAGAACATGCATTTGGATGGCAGACTTGCTTAAAGGCAGAGTATTCCAAGGAGGTACTTTCACTTTCTGCATGTTTTTGTCTTCTGTATCTTACCTTACCAAATGGACTTTAAATGTGCTGCTTTTGGCATTAAGGTCACACAGAGTGGATAAGCAAACAGTTACGCCATAGCATAAAATTTTGCAGAAAATTTATCAGGAGACATGCTAGTTCTCTATTGTGAACTACAGTTTTGTTATATATAGTAGGTATTTTACATAACTGTTTTTATACACTAACAGATCTATTTAAGTGGGACAATAATTACATCTTTCCTTCCCCCTTTTTTTTTTACAAAACTGCCAAGTTCATTTTTTTCCTTTGACAAACCAAAAAATTTGATTTGCTGTTTCTCAGTTTCCTAGTTTGTGTGGATTTAGAAAAACTAATAACAGCCTAATCCAACACTCAAGAAAACCAACAGTCACTAAACAAGTACTGTTCAAATTAGGAAAATATGTATTTTTTGTTAGGTAAAATAGCTTTCCTGGAACTTGTTCTCAATAATGTCTTCACAGTTGCCTTCTGATGCCAGTTAGGCTACAGGATTAAGTTGTTAAGTGCTACAGAAAGGAAATTATAGCTATTTTTCGAACAGTTTTCCAAAATTTCAAATTGTTTTGAGCTTTCTTTTTTTTTAACAAGTTTGTTATTTGTGAAGATTGACAACAATCAGTGGATTGCTTCCTTGTTTCAGTCTAGTAAGGGCAGCTGATCTATGTCATTCACAGAAGCACAGGATGTATCTAAACTGCAATGCTGGTGAAAAAGCTTTTTCCAGTTTCTGCTTGCTGTTAATGTGCTTTCCAAACAGAGCACAGACCATCACCAAGGACCTGTTTTGCTAATCAATACAAGAACCAGTGTAAACGGATACAAATTACAGATGGAAAATCACATCAGATTAAATTCTTAGTGGTTTTGTCACTTTCTGATTCCACTTACAGCGTATTCTCCACGGTTTTTCCTTGATGGGGCATGAACTGTCAACTCTGATTCACATCATCTACCAGTTACTAAGGCATCACGTGGTTACTAAGAAGCAATTTTGGCTCTGACTCATCTGGGAATTTAAACACGAGCAAGCCCATGTGCAGAAAGCTCCCATGTGAGTAGAGCAGGAGAAACACATATCCATTATAAAGCAAATAGTTTCAAACCCCTTTTTTATATCACACCTGACCTGGAATGCCCCCGTAATTTTCTGTGGTTTTGCAATCACAATTGCTCTTTTCTACTGTGTTTTTTTCTCCTTGTTGCTGTAACCAAGCCAGCTACTCCCCACAGATACTGAACTAGCACAGAGCAACAACTTAGTCTAAAGTTTCCTTTATTCTGGCCTTTTTTATCTTGTTTCTATAATCTCTTTGAAGTTCAAATGTAGTATTGTTTATTGCAAACTGCGAAATGCGGATTAATTTGGAGAGCCTCTTTTAATCAACAGGCTATAATTTTAATTCACTGGCTAAACTTTAAAACAAGACTTCTGTTGTATACTCCTCACCAGCAACAGACACTTGTACTTATGCACCCACAAAAGACAGGTAATTGTGTCAAAGCACAAGACAGCAGAGCAGTTAATCCAGAGCACTTTACAGAATAACTCCAAAAACTCTGATGAGATGAAGACACACAGAAAATTGTCAGTAGGAAAGCCATTCTGTCCTTCTGTTCTCAGCAGTGTCAGCAATACCTGTTCAGTTCCGTATGAATTTGGTTTTATTTCCTCATGCTCATTTCTAGAAATGCTGGAGCAGTTTCCCTTTGGAAAACAGACTGAAACACAAAAGCCTGAGAACAACAGTACTCCATCAGAGAGAAGGTCCATCTGGCTCAATAGTCTTGTCCCCAAAGTGGCCAATCATCAGTGTCTAAAGGACAGCCTATGAGCAGAGCAGGTCTACTTCTGCCAGGGTTCTGGGATTGTTCTAAGGCCCTTCTAAGTCACTCTAAGGGTGACTTACTGTGGCCTTTCAATACTTGAAGAGGGCTTATAAGACCAGGACAGACTTTTTAGCAGGGCTGTGTTGATAGGATGAGACCTTTTGCTGTGCTTTTGCAGCCAGATTTGCCTATCTCACATTGGCCTTTTTAGTCATCAGCGTGCATGTAGTAAGCGTGGGTAAAGCCCTTCTCAAAACTTCGTTTGCGAAGTCAAGCCATGAATGAATGAATGAATGGTTTTAAACTAAATGAGGGGAGATTCAGGCTGGATATAAGGGAAAAAAAAAAAATTACAGTTAGTACAGTGAAACACTGGCACAGGTTGCCCATCCCTGGAAATATTCAAGGTCAGGTTGGACCTGATCAAGTTGAAGATGTTCATTGTAGGGGGGTTGGACTAGACGACCTTTAAATTTCAATTCCAACCTGAACTATTCTGTGATTCTACAATTCTGTGATAACCACCAGTTTCAGCTGAGCTGGTGCCCAGCTGATCCATCCCTGGATCTGATAACACAAAGGCTAGTTCTGAAGGAAGTTGAGAGGGCTATCAAGTTAGCAGCAATGAAGGGCAGGATCGTTGCTTCCAGTTTCAGACTGCATTCATCATGGCTTAAAATGCTTGTGGAACTATGCCTTGAGTGATTTTTTTTTTTTTAAATAGATTATGTAAGATACTAGCTTGGAAATGGCAACGCTGTGTTTTCACAATCAATGCCATGCATATGGCAGCACTTCTGACATTCTGGCTGTAAGTACAAAGAAAGCTTTCCCTTTGCCCGTGTACATGTTTTTTGTTGTTGCACTGAACTTGCCTACAATCCTGTCAATTAATACAATCATGGGGCCAGAGCACCCTACAGCAGCACACAAAGCAGCATCCTGTGTAACGCCAGTGTTGGTGTAAAACACATGAACTTACCACCTGTACGGCACATGAACATACCACCTGTGACTGCAGGGATAAATTTTTCTTTGAATTTTACGTGAAGATCTGGAATAACTCCACTGACTGAGAAGAAAGTACCTCAGGTTCATATCAGTGTCATCGGGGCATCAATGACTCTCTGAATCATAGAATATAGGAAGGTAGAATTATGGTAATTACACAAACCCAGATGTGTAATTTCCTGAACACATTTATCTTTGAAATCTTCTGTCACCCAGACCATAACATGCTTTAGCAAATAATATATAATAATACTTTCTAGGGGGAAAAAAAGAAGATAGAAAAGAAAAAGAAACCCAAACAACTGAACAAAGTTTAAGGATTAGGTTAATGTATTAGACATCCGTCTCTTTACTTAGTAGGCTGCCTGGACAAGCACTAGAAGTTTCACTCAGAAAGACAGCTTTCTAGAGAGACAAGGAAATTCCCCCGCATTTAGATGGTTGCTTTTAAACAGCTCCAAATATTGGATGAAAATATTAGCAGAAGCAAATCAAGCCAAAGGAAGCTTTTACACTGAAAATTATGGAGAATAAGGCAAGAAAATCTTACTGTCTTCGCTTACCCTGCAGATAAACTCCATCCTCATGGAGGCAATTACCAGCTTCACCATTTTTGTACACTGAGCTCCACTGACTGCACCACTTCCAGCCCCAATGCTATCCATTCGCTACTGTGGCTGACTGTCTCTGCATCTAAATGAAATCAGCATTTTAACAGCTATCAGAAGAGCACTTGTAAGTAATATCCTTTATTTTACTTCATTCAAGTGTAATTATTACTTTCTGTTCTTAAAATGTTAATATAAAAAAATTACTTCTGAGAAGAAGATCAACGTTTTAACAGGATGTGACTTACAAAAAAAAAAAAAAGTGGAAAATGAGTAAAGCAGATGGTCACATTCTTCTGTCTTTTACCCTGTCCTCTGAGGGAAATTTCACTATATGTTACAAAGTTATGTAGGGATCTGTTGGGAATCTCACTGGTTTGCAATATATTTTTCGTATTTCTGTAAAGAGCACAAAAGTTCATCTTTGCTCCATAAGAGGTCACTACCTTGGTTAAACAAAAAAATCTTGTTCAAAACTGGTAGATACTGGTATCTCGGGCAAACATTTGTGCATTTGATGAATCCTAGTAGCTTTGAGAGAAGCAGATATACTCAAAGCACGTGAATAATTTCTTTCTATTTGGCAGGGTCCTCCTTGTGCATAACTTCCCATTGCTCACTGGCACAGTATAAATACTTGACCTGCCCACATTTCTGTAACTGTGTGGTTATGGAGACTTGAAATATACGTGGGTTTGCAACCTAGATTTTTTATTAGATCATGAGTTTCAGGGTACATATTGAATATATAAGTGCATAAATTTTCAGGCCCTCTGTGAACTTGCACAGGTATCTAGAATCATAGAACGGTTTGTGTTGTAAGGGACAATAAAGATCTTCTACTTCCTCACCACTCTCATAGTGAAGAAATCTTTCCTTATATCTAAATCTGAATTTACCCTCTGACAGCTTAAAGCCATTCCCCTTGTCCTATCCCTACATGACCTTGTAGAAAGTCCCTCTACAGATTTCCTGTAGGCCCCTATTAGATACTGAAAGGCAGCTCAGGGGAGACCTTAGAGCATTCTCCAAGCTGAACACCCTCAACTATCTCAGACTGTCTTCAGGCTCCAGCTCTTAGATCATGTTTGTGGCCTCCTCTGGACTCGCTCCAACAGGTCCACGTACCTCTTATGTTGGGGATCCCAGAGCTGAACACAGAACTGCAGGTGGGCTTTCATGAGAGCAGAGTAGAGTGGCAGGAACACCTTTGACCTGCTGGCCACGCTCTTTTTGATGCAGCCCAGGATACGGTTGGCTTTCTGGGCTGCAAACCTGATCGTCTCCTACAGTGGGCAGTTCCTCATTCTCCTACTCCCTGCCTTTGCCTCCTGTGACTTGGGCAGTGTGGCTGCAGCTCCTGCAGTGAAGACCCAGGCAAAAAAGTCACTGAGTACCTCATACTTCTCCATGTCATAGGTGATAAGGTCTCCCGTTTCCTTCTGGAGGGGGCGCACATTTTCTCGTCTTCCTTTTTTTTGAAAGCTCTAAAATATTACATCATGATCAGATCTCTAAATTTAACACTGAAATCTCACCGCATTTTTAGGTGGTTGGGGTTTCTTTTACTTAACTCTGACAAACACAAGGCACAGTGCAATATCAGTCAAATTAAAATGCAGAGATTTAGAAATCATAAAAAGATACTCTGATACACACAGATGAATGCTGAGAAGCTGGGAGCAGACTTGGCTGCATCACCAACTGCTATCTGACAAAATGCACTGAGATTGAGTAACAAATCTCTAAGGCCTCTGAATCAGAGGGCTCTTACATGACTGAAGGAGAGCTATAGCTCTGGATTCTTTGTCTCTGTTCCTCTGTCTGACAGTCAAGTTCTGCTGGGGAAAAAGGACCCAAACAAATCACTCTGAGTTTAATGCCTCTCTGGCATTAACTTTATCACTTTTCAGAAGCCTTCAATTTCTAGTTTACCTGCCCTTCCTAGAAGTGATATTGCTGTAGCTGTGCTGATCCTCGGGTTTCATCACAGGAGTATGTGAGTGCAATGTGTATCAAAACCAAAGTGAGTTGCGACTTGGAAGGGAGGAAGAGAAATTTTTCACTGAATTAGAGCCTGACAAAGAAAGGTGTTTCTTCAACAAGTGTTTCGATTAATTGTGGATTTTTTTCCTCACTATCCAGATCTGTAATGAAAAGTTTTGCTAACTGGCAATAAATTGACTAAAATTTCCTGAACCAAGATGTTGCTCATGACACAGAGTACTCATATTTCTTCAGTCCTATATACTATGAAATCTGTTGTTAGAGAAAGGGGATCACGGAAAGGAAGTAGAGAAGCATTACTTGCTGTAGCTGGACTGCCATCTGAACAGTAACCTACCATACTGAGGCAGCTGCATTAAGATTCTCATTAAAGGGCACGTTCAGGTGAAGTGTTTAAAGCACCCTATACAAGCAGACACCTACACAGGGTGAGGGTGGGTGGGATGGAGGTAATAGGCACCACACCGCCAGATAGTTTTGGCCATGGGAAGAGGCTCGGAAATGAATTAATGTGCCAGTGGAAATAAAGCCAGTCACACAGGGAGCCACCACAAAGCAGATGCCACATCTTAAAATTCAAATCTTAGTTTATTCCCAGATAGCTTCCCCATGGAGGCAGGCCTTAAGGGTCTCCTGAGAACTCTCATGGTGTGGGCTGCCTTTTCTGCCTGTTAGCTTCAGGAAAGGACAGATATGCACTCAGACTTCTTTTCCCCCAGATTTACCAGTTGGACATACATTTTCTTCCTCAGGACCACCTGTGGGGTCAGTGACTGTGCCAGCCTCCTTTTCTGTCCCCACATAAAACAGGTCTACAAAAACTTGGGGATCTGTCAAATTAGCACAGTGATGAGGATGAGAAAAAGACATGCAGAATTTTGAACTATATCCCCCTCTTTGATTGCAGAAAGGGTAACTTATGTAACTCCTGAATGGGAGGGGGAACCCCACTTGACTCATTTGCTTCATTTTATAAGTGCTGCACTGGGTTGCAAAAGGCTGATAAAATCTAAAGAGCAAAGTCCTGCAGCCTAATATTACTATTCATCTACTGCCTGCTTCCCCAGTCATTCCCCCTTCTTGAAGTTATGTTGATAAATCAGTTGCCTCCCGGTTTAATAAAGCTGTGGCAGTTTATTTAATCAGCTCTTGGCCCATTTTCTAATTAAGGGAGATAATGTGGGCTCATTTCCTGCTACGGTGAATCTGGCAGGGCACAGGTTGTACTCAATGACTGCATTAAAATTCAAGAGTGTTTGTAATGTCTGCTTTTGTTTTAAAACTCCCTCCCTTCTCTCTGCCCAGATGAAGACAAAAAGACAGATGTGTTATTTCTGCATTTCCACACTGCTGACACCCACACAAGCCAAGGACAGGAAGATGGAAGCAGGTGGAGCTTTGATAGTTTGCTGACATGGTGCTTTCCCAGGGCAGGTGAAACATTTTTCTGGGAGACTCTCCATCCCAGCAAAGTTAATAATACTGCATCGTATGATGGTCCTAAAGATAATGTTGTGAAGGAAGGGAATGCTGGAATGCACACACCAGTTGGAACATATTAGCAGCTTGCTCTGCTGCTGGGCTTGGGCCACCGCCTGCACCACTGGCCCAAATCTTTTGTCTGTCCACTTAGTGCAGAAGCCATAAGTGCAGCATTAAATCATTTGTGTGCTCTCTCTATTCCAATGTAAGCAAGAAACTTGTAATACCTGAAAATTGCCCCTGTTACTACCTCTGAAATATCCTACCTTGGATCTTGCTTCTGACACATCTCAGCACTTAACAGCTACAGCTAATCCAGAATCAGCAGTCTGGCAGGGAAGTTCTCTTTTGCAGGCCCTCCTTCTGTCCCTTAGGACACATTCAGATGGAATATTAAGCTCTTCTATGTAGAAAGAAACCATAGGTACATTGCAAGTTACTGATACATGCCATAAGCAGTCTTTCAGCAGGCCTTGTGAACTGCTGGAAACAAGACCATCCATTTTGTCTGACTTTTCAGTTTTTTCTTCAATCCACATAAGCATATACATGTACCACACCTGCAACAGCTCCAATTCCTGTGGAAACCCAGGCAGAAATCACTTTGCCACACTTTCAGAAGCGTTTCATATCAACTATGAAATATACCTCCTTGCAATGTGCCTTTATGTGGAACAGCTGAAAATTTGACATGGTCCTGGTCAGCCCTTTCTAAGTGACACTGCTCTGAGCAAGGCTTTGGACTACATAATATCCATAGCTGTCATAGAACCTCAGCCATTTTATGATTCTGTGGAGAAAAAAATAATAAATCCCACTGTTTTGAGCACTTCATCAATAGTTATATGATACCGTATTTCCAAACTCTGACACTTGGAGAAACATTGCCCTGATCACTTTTAAAGTGCCAGTGAGGATTTGCAGGTAAACTGCTTCCTGAATTGCACCTTACTTTTCCTTCCCTGCTTACACTTTTATTTTATTTGCATTTGAAAGCAACAGTGAAAGCATTTCCATTTCTGGAGTCTTATTTTTGGAAACAATGAAATTAACTTTGATCTATTTCAGTCCAAATGGAAATGTCTAGTTTTGTTATGCTGCTAATTGAACCTCTGTCTCACTTCACCTGTCTCACTTAGATCCAGAGTGTGTTCTGGATGTTAACACACTCAATACCTCCACAAACAGTTACTTAAAGATTTAAAAAAAACATGAACAATTCACCTTTACACAGACCAGTCTTCCTTTCATATGTGTTTTGAGTGATTCGAGGGTGTAAGTATTATGCTGTTACTGACCAATGAAAAAAGATAAAATTATATATAAAATATGTAATACAGGAAGAAACAGAAGACAAATAAACCTCTATTTTCAAATGGCAGTATTTCCCACCTTATATTTTTCCATACAAAATATACTGCACTTTTCTCTTTCTACTGAGCCTACCAAGCATCACACAAATACTGCAGCAGACGGAATGGGTCTATGGACAGATGCAAGTGTTTATCCCTATAAACTGCCTGTGTTCAACCATGGATGTTACCCTCAGAGGAAACCCACTGCAACAAGCGTTGGGAAAGGCTCAGTGAAAGGAGAAGAAAAACTTCCTGGAGCTTTCCCCCCAACCCCACACTTACCAAAGGCTCTAATTCTTTGCGGTCGATGAGATTGAACTCTGTCACAAAATAATAAAAATGCTTGTAACAAGTATTGACGTGAGCCTCAGCCCCCATAACGATGATGCGGTCGAAGTGATGGATGTAGACGTGAACAAACACCCGAAAAAGCCGGCAAAGTATCTTCTTGCAGATCTGAAGGAAGTTCTTCGGAAAGGGAACACCTGTGAATAGAGTAGATTGGATTGTCATAACCATCCTGTCATCCTCCCAAGACAACGGCTTTGGAGCAAAGCATGAGTTGGAAATGCAAACTAGGTTATGACTTCCTAGGCCTCCTTTCCAATCTAGAAGGTCACTTAATGCACACATCTGACCACTAGCATCAAAGGTAACTGAATACTTAAGCAACTTTAGTGAATCAAGACTGAGAGGTACTGGTCCTTTTTCCATAAATAATTTAATGGAGAAAAAACAGTATTATAACATTCAGAAATGTGATTTTCACTACAGTGCACACTGTCCCATTAACTTCAATGGTTTTACAACCTTATATGGCTGGTTTGCACACTGATAGACACAGCGCTCATCCTAGAAGTGACACTCTCCTGCTCATTTCATTCAACAGCGGCATTTCATATCATCAAATTTAATGATGAATTTGAAATAACTTGTTTGAAGGACACACCCCTTTGCTTTCACCTTCCTCCCAGTTGTGTGTACCAATCCGGCTCTCTTTTAATAGAAAAACTCTTGAGATGACACAGGGATAGCTCATCCAAAATACCTTAGAAGTTAAACCACTTCACAGCCAGAGACTCCAAAGCAGTAGCAAAAGCAGTATTTGCAAGTAAACAGTCGGGCATCCACAGTGTGGCACTAATAATTCCTTCAAAACTGCTCCTCATTAAAGACTTATGAATTGTATGGCATTGTGTATTGAGCTGTTCCAAAAAGCTAAAGCGTTTATCTTCTTTTATGACTGTCCCTCAGACATGATGACTTTAGTGCCATTGTCAAAACTGTACTGTTATTTTTCTTTGCTGCACATCCTCCTGACTTCTTAATAGTTCATGTTTTAGTGAGATCTGAACTACCTAACTGTAAGTTATTGCTTCTTTTAAGACAAAAAACAAACATCACAGCTAGCCAGTCCCACACTTTCTGAAACCCCAACTCATGCTCAACAACAAAAATATGTAATACAAGAGGAAGCAGGAGACAAATAAACTTCTATTTTCAAATGACAGTATTTCCCACCTTATATTTTGCCATACAAAATTACGTTTATTATTTGCAGAAAGAAGCTGGAGATAGTAGATTTAATACTGTTGCAAGCTTTCTGGTTTTCAAATTTTAGTCTCGTTAAATTAAATACTGCTCAGGACTCATAAGAATGTGAGATAATGGATAAATTGCCCAGTTGCACTGAGGGGGGACATGAAGACATACAGCGACAATTTCCATAATGAAAGCAGATTTTTGATTATAGATCACATATATTATCAGCTGTGGCTGTGTCAGTCTGGGTCACATCAACAGAAACATGCACCTTATTTTCGACTCCTTAGCCAAGGAGGTACGAGGGTATATGCACTGCAGACGTGAACACTGCTGTGTTTGTTACCATGGAAGTAACATGGCACATTAGCAAGCAGAAGTATCCTGCTCAGTGTATCCCTGAACTGCCTCTAGATTTGCCACTGCTGAGGTGCAGATGATGTGGGAAAGTGCCTTAGGGTTTTTTTGGCCTGTATTGGGTTCATCAGAGGCAAACCCTTTTGATGTAATTTCAAGCAGCTTTAGAGATGCAGTGCAGCTCTTCTTACTCTTTATGTATTAACCAGGAACCAGCAAAATGGTCACATCTATCAAAACACAAGCCCTTTATTTCTTTAAGAAATGTTTGCTTTCTGTTGCCACATCCATTCATCTTAATCCTAGAGCTAATATCAAAGGTCCCAGAGGAGGAGGCCTGAATGCTCAAGCATGAACTGAGACATCGCTAAACTACGGAAATGATAATATGTACAGCTGCCTTCCCAATACTTGAATCAAAAAGCTGCTCAATTAGCTGAACACCTGGGTTATAATACATGATTGTTGTTATTTCCAAGGGCATAATAAATACGATCTATCAGAAAACATGACAGAACCTCCAGTTTGCTTATTAACTAGGGGGATCACATTTCTGCTACAAGAGCATGTATAAATTCAGGAATGACTACCGCAGCAGCCTGCTTTACATTTTTGTAAAAGCTACCCAAAGCAGAATTTTAAAATATTAGGCCTTAACAAAGGGGAATAACTAGCAAACTGGTTCATTGAACAGACATAAAAATTCTTTAAGGTGCTGTATGTTCTGATCCAGAACAGGTATGTCCCAAAATGAAGAAAAATTACTTTCTTCCACGGGCTGACCTAATTATGACTGAAGAATGTTACTGTAATGAAGAAACTCATGCTTCTGTATTAACTGACTCAAACATGCTGAATAAGCCAAGCTGAAGAATCCTTTTAACTTCTCTGCAGCCCATGCTCCCACTTAACAGTAAGTGCAGTAAGTGCAAAGGCCATAGAGCACTGTTTCTGCTGCGTGTGAGGACTTTCATCTGACAGCTTTTTAGACGGGTTAGGCAGTCAATCTGAGGAGATGTAAATAACACACAGGAAAGAGAAAATAGCTGGTGCAGAGAAGCTTAGGGTACATAATTAGCTTGCAGTGTCCCCACTGCCTCTCACATGCATTAAGTTTTCAGACAGGATGTGTAGTTTCACTTGCCACTGCGGAACTTCCCCAATTTTTCAAAGCTATCACTGTTTCATTTACTCTTAAATAAACAGTGGAACACTGCTGCTATCACAGCATTATTAACTAGGTACAGCAGAATCTGTAATGGCTCTCTGACTTCTCTCCCTTTCCTGCAAAACTGGTTTAAAAACTTGTCATGGTTTAAACCCAGTCAGGTAATTCATTCGCTCAGTTCCCCCCCTTTCTTGCCCTCCCCCTGCTCCCGGGGGGACGGAGAGGAGAATCGAAAAGAATGCAACTCCCACGGGTTGAGATAAGAACAGTTTCGTAACTAAGGTATAACACAGATCACTACTGCTACCACCAATAATAATCATGATAAAGGAAATAACAAGGGAAGAGAATACATCATCTCACCACCAGCCGACCGATAACTCGCCCCCCCAGCCCCACCAAGCTCTGACCGATACCTCCTCCAACCCCGCAGTCTCCCAGCCCTTCCGGCTAACTCCCAGTTACCTCCTGGGCATGACGTGCTGTGGTATGGAATACCTCTTTGGTCAGTTTGGGTCAGGTGTCCTGTCTCTGCTTCCTCCTGGCTTCCCCTCCTCCCTGGCAGAGCATGAGGCTCACAAATTCCTTGGCCAAACCAAAATATCCTTGTTATCAGCTCTGTTCCCGAGCTGAAAGTCAAAACACTGCACTGCACCAGCTACCAAGAAGGAGAAACATGACTGCTACTGCTGAACCCAGGACAAAACTGACACAGTGTCCTAAATAGTTAAAAAGTGCCTCCTTGTGCCACTGAAAGCAACTGGTAGTGGTGCAGTGTGGTAGACTCCTCAGCCTTGGAAAGCCTGCCAGCCAGCCTGCCCCTGGAGTGCAGAGGAGGTTCAAAGCCTGGTCATCCTCAAGGTATGGATGCAGCACTAGTTTAAACATACACTCTGTTGCTCTTTGTGCTCAAAATTAGACAAAACAAACAAACAAACAGAAAAGATACAAATCTGGTCTCAGAGAAAAAAAAAAACCTAATACAACAGAACAGATCCTGATCTCAGTTACAGCAGGATGAATCCAAAGTAATGCCATTAAAAAAAGGAAAAAAAAAAAAAGTTAAATGATTCTCGATTTATAGTCTGAGGTCAAAATTTGGCCTAATGTTTTGTTCCCACTGCAACTGCTACAGTTATAAATAAATCAGCTACAGAACATAATCATTATGAATGCCTCTTGGGAATGGAGCAGCTTACATTTAGATCCTTAATTTGCTAAGGAGTCTGTTCTCTGTTCTTCAGCTCAGCCACAGTAGCCTTTGCCTTCTTCCCTTCTAAGCCCTCATTTAACATTTAAAATATCCAAGAATAAAAACGATTCTCTGACTATTTGTAAGGTGATACCTTAAAGAGACACAATGTAAACCCACCAAATTAGACTGCTAAGTTATGGTTAATAAAAGACAAAGAAATACAATGATGACACTGAAATTTTTGAGCTATCTGCTACTTGCTGAAAGAATTTCTGGATGAGTGAACTTGCAGCCTTGGTTCATTCATAGGCTGAGTCCCAGTGCTGCTGTATGAGAAGAAAATAACTTGGTATTCAAAACCCCAGAGCTCCCTATTGTGTCCCCAGGATGTTCAAGCAGCTTTGAAACATCCCAGTCACAGAGTAGAAGCTCCCTTTACTCAAGAGTTACAAATGTAATTGGGAAACAATTCAGTGAGAGGTTGTTAGGCATGGTATAACCAGTAACAAACATCACCAGCATGACTGTACCCATATGTAGAATCATAGAATAGTTTGGGTTGGAAAGGACCAACCCCCCTGAAATGGACAGGGACACCTCCCACTAGATCAGGTTGCTCGAGGCCTAATCCAATGTGACCTTGAACACTGCCAGTGATGGGGCAGCCACAGCTTCCTTGGGCAGCCTGTTGGCAATACTGGGCAGTGTTCTCACAGCAAAGAATTCCTTCCTAATATCTAACCTAAATCACCCCTGCTAACTTGTCTCTGGAGTGTGTGCTGCACTTGCCAGTTCTGTACTGACAGACTTCCCCTGCGAAAAAGCTGCACCCATACCCCCTGGTGACATGTACCACAGCAGTGCAGGGGAACAATCACAACACTTCCTCTCTGTTTCAACCTCCCTGCACTCTCCTGACCTTTCTGCTTCTGTTGACTTGCTGGAAAAGGCTGCTCCTAAGACGAGCAGGAATCTACAACTTCCAAAAGTCAACCTGCCTGATCCATTTCCCACCTTCTTTTCCATCAGAAAACGGAGGGATTTCCCCCTTCTTTTTGAAGTCAGCCTGTTGTAAGCTATCGACTTTGCTTCTTACACATTCTTAGTTTGAGATCAGGTGATTTGTTCCTGTACAGAGTGAGCATTCAGATCTGACTGATTACCAGACAGACATATATGACAATTGCAGACAGTGTCATGGCCTTTTTATGATGCTCGCTCCC